TTTTAAACTTTGACCGTATATTACGGAAAAAATACATTGAATTTTCACATAAATTTATTAGCAATAGATTCATTTTGAAACATAGTTTTGAAATATATAATTTTTATAAAATATATTTATAAAAAAATTGAGATATTGATGGTCAAAGTGTCGCATTGGAGACCGTGAAAAGTCAAATGAGAAGTTAATTTTAGGACGAAGGGAGTATAAAACTTTTATACTACTCCCTTAGTTCTAAAAAAGAGTTTTTATTTTGACCAAATGTAGAAATAAGAAAGTATTAAATTGTACTCCCTCCGTCCCGTTTTAAATCGCCCGTTTTGACTTTTGGGCATATTTAAGGAAAAAAAATAGAATTGATTTTTCGAAATTGACATTATTTTTTAGAAGGTTTGACGATGAATAAGAAGATAAGGTGGTGAAGAGTGAATAATTTTAAGAGTAGTTTAGATATTTTACTTTTAAAAGTTTACGAAAACAAGTAACAGACAACTTATTTTGGGACGGAGAAAAAAGGCAAGCAGACAATTTAAAATAGGACAGAGGGAGTAGTTTACTTCTAATTTTACTCTTGATTTGATGGGTAAAAGTAAGATGTGATAGATAGATTATTAGAAAAAAGATATAATGCGATACGTAAAGTATGAAAAAGTATGGGTAAAAATGGTTTTTTAATAGGAAGTGGAAGTTTTTTGTTAGAAATAGAAAAAATGAAGTATCTCATAAAATATTTCAATTAAGGTTAAGTGGACATAATTACTTTTGCTTTTCTTAAATCTAATCGAACTTATCTCAACTACCTTCTATGTTCTACCCAATTTGACATTTCGCGAGCCCTACTTGTTTTAATTATTGTAGTTTTACATTGGTCAAACTTAACAATTTCCTCTCTAAAAACTCAATGCAGAACATATTTTACGGGACGGAGATAGTATTATATTACACACAAACACTTTAATACTTCTGTTCGTCATATATCTTCCATTATGTGCTTTAATTTGATTTTAGATGTAAAACTCTTTTAAAAATATTTAAAAAGTAAAGAAACTACACGAAAAGTTAAACGAGAGAGGGAGTATAATATTTTAACCCTTCACTTGAAAGATTCATTCTCATTTCTTTAATCTTGTTCTCTTCCTAAACCAGTACTGGCCCCCATCTTGTTCGGTATCACATCCATTTCTAAATTAAACTTATTCCTCATATGAACGCCACAATAGCTCTAAGGGATGATTGGTATGACTTGTGGGTTGTCATGATCAATTGAGTGCTTCTAGTTTGCTTCTAATTTGAACTTTTAGTATTATTTAACAATTTTCGTTGTTGGTACTGTGTTTGCATTGTAAGGTGGCAAATCACATTGTTTTTTGCAACTTTACCTAATTTTTAAATTTTTTCGTTATATATTATCATGTTTGACATTATGTAATGACGTTTTTATCAATGTACACCGGTTTGGTAGAAAGAAAGGGATAAAGCTCTGAAATAGTTAACTCAGAGCTGGGGTGGGAAGGCAATCGATGTGTCACTGAGGCAGTGATTTGGTGATTATCGCCTCTTAGTCTTATCTATTCAAATAGAGGAATGCAAACTAGCAAACTGCTCTATCAGCGGAAAGAGAGAGAGAGCCAATACATGAGAGGGGGTAGAAGTTAAGCAGGTTTTTTCTTAGATGGAAGGTTCTTAGTCTAATCGGAGACAGATCTCGTCTGTAACCACAATGACTATATGCTTAACACACCTTCAGATCGAAGAAGTACTTTTTGGAATGGGAATGGCTGAAGCGGGGTGGAGGAATTTCAACTCATCAGACTCATGATCTTAAGATCCCCGCCTAATCACTTGAGATCTTGGTAAAAGTTGTCTTGCTAGCTAGCCGGATGGTGAACTCTTCCAAGTCCGTAACGAAGCTAGTACGGTTCAATGCTTCTAGAATATCTAGAATAAGAGTTCAAATTCCGGCTAACGGGATCAGAGCTTGAATTAGACAATAGATCGCCCCGGCGGGCTTGCTCTGACTCAGATGGCCCTGAGGAGCACTCCACTAACAGATCCTTTTGCAGGTTCAGGGGGAAAGGCCAACATCGCTCGGACCAGAACAGAGTAGTCGAGTCATTCCTCCGCTCTCTCTTGGCAATAGTTTACCTTTCTAATGTTCAGCCTTGATATATATATATATATATATATATATATATATATATATATATATATATATATATATATATATATATATATAT